TCTCTCTCTCTCTCTCTCTCTCTCTCTCTCTCGCTGTCTCTCTCTCTCTCTCTCTCTCTAACTATCGCTTTGTTTGTCATTGGTACTCTCTCGCTCCTACGTCTCACGCTCCTTAGTGCTGTCTTTTAACTTTAACTTTTATGCTTTGCGCTCTCCGTTTTCGCTGTGTGTTTTCTAAATACGCATTGATCAGCGATATTATTTAGTCGGTAACTAGCTCCGTTCTTCTCCCCGTCTGTAAACACTCGCTAACTTTCGACAGGTTTCCCTACCTCCATATTTATAGATAAATATATTTTACTCGAAGAACTAATGCGTAAATAAAAGGGCACGTTACCGTTTGACGGGCTCATGCTGCTACGCGGCGACAGTGCTGACGATGACGATAGTGGTAGTGTGTGATGTTATCGCGGCGGTGGCGTTGACGACGTGGATGGTGGTGGTGATATTACAGTTTCTCTGAATGCTCTTGCTACTCTTCCGCCTTTTACCTATAATAACATTCTGTAGATCTGTAATACAACATTCTACTATGAGATGTGGCTGGAAAAGAAAGATGTAGGTATACACAACATGCATCATCACTCCATACGCGGGTGTTAAACTAAACTAACCCATAATTTGTATGAACATTAAAAATTAATTATAAGTAGCTCATTATTACATAAATACATCATTGTATTCCTAGCTTTTTGTTGAAATCCTATTTATAAATAATAATAATTACCACGAACCTCTAAAATAAATTCAAAAAATTACATTTTTAATAAAACCCACAAGTAAATAACATACAAAACAATAGAGTACTGAATAAGAAACAATATACAAGTTTCGCTATATAATATCGAAAAGAATTCCACGTTTGTATCGATATAACGTACCATAATCAATATAAGCAAAACTACTTTTCCAATTACTTGACTAAAACAGAGCGTTTCTTGTTACTAAACATTGTAATTAGCTGCTTTTGCGTCGATGATGTGTACTATAACACATGTTCACATACAGAATGATGCAATGAAAGGAACAAACTGTTCATCAATGCAATCACAAATTCATTTAAAAGTATAGTATTTTAATTCGTGTACGAAGCGGGTGTGTGTATCTATGGGTAGGTGTGCGTGCATCCATGGACGTGTTTGCGGGGGGGGGGGGTAGGTGTAAGAGCGAGTGTACGTGAGCGCGCATGTATGTGTGCGTGCGCGTAATTGTATCTACGTGTATACACGCGGGCGAACATGCATGGCATCAGAGATACAGGTTCTCCTTGTGTTTGTATTAATTATTACTCTTCTATTCTCTTAGCTACTACGCTACACACATTAGCAAAGCTGGACTTATCATTCATACGCGCTTTCACTTTGCCGTCAGAGGTAGGCAATATTTGTATTTGCAGTCTGACTTAAAATATATGGATCGTTTCTAAATAAAATGCAATCCCACTACACCCAAAGGGAACAGTGGCAACAGCGGCGGCCTGCGTAATTTAGTTCTTGTTATTCATATATGCTAGGCTTTGACCTGTTGCGTTACACCCACTAATAACCCTTTGGTGAATAATAATTAATTAATTAATTTTCATGCTAAACGAACGCTTACATACTTAAATATATCGTGGTTTGCGGAAGGATTCGCAGGCACCCTTGATTGTGAAGCCTTTGCAAAAAGGATACCACTGCTAGGTAGGATATCCTTATGCACGCAGAATATCCGTTTACTCACCTTTTACCGTACTACATAATATACCCTTCGTTTATATTAAAGCATTTACGCTACCCTTTAGCACTGCGTACTAATTTATTTTACCAAATATATACATGCAGTTGTGGCTTCGTTAACTATTTGTGGTTAATTCGCTGCATTATATGCAAACATTTACGACTTATGTTTAACTCCGTTTATACATATTGTACATAGGTTTTCTATTTTTCCTAGTTTAAAAATAACCTTATGAGCGAAGAGTCTAAGGATATATTAATTATTATTGTAACTACGTAAAAATAATCTCAACTATTTTTTCAGAAGTATATACGTAAAACCCGTGACGTTCACTTTAATTACGTATTCGAATAAAAAGCATCGATGATACAATTGACACAGGCGATTTACCTCCGCATAGCCGTTTAATAGATTGTTAATACAGATAGATGCTACCTAATAGCTATGTAATATAGCTCGGTATTTGCGGTCAGCCGTACGTCAAATAACGTGTCATGTTTACGAAAACGCAGAAAACAAGCGGCAATGTTAAAAAATAAACTCGTGCGAGTAGCAATATTCGCAACGTTCGATGTAAATCGAGATGCATCTGAGAATAGTTATAGAATACTGCCTATACGGATTTGTATTTAATCGCCTTGCAAAGCTCGGTTGAACGTGCATAAGCGCGCTTCTATGCTGATTAGACCGTGCGTGCCAACAGCAGCAACAGAACAGCGTGTATAGCAGACGAGACGCTGCGCTAGCACTCACCTGCACTCCCGTTGTGCGGAGAGAATTTCGGCTCCTACACGGCGACGCTCAGAAGGGTTCTTCTTAATTAAAGCCGCGATGCGCTCGCACACCAGTGCATCACCCGAATGCGGCTGGCTCACTGGTCTCCGCCAGGCTCGAATCCTCCCCGCTGCACCTACCGGGATTCCCTGATTAACCGTCTGCGTGGTAAACCTGTCGCCATCACCTGCACATCGGTGCGTTATTGCGAATTCTTCGGTGGCGCGTGTAATATTACTTCTATGCGCATCTAGAATTCCGTCGAATGTCTATCTGCCCACGCCGGTCCCGATACCGCCCGGTGCGCGAATGTTTATTCCGCGAAATGGGCGGAGTGTAGCGGAGAGGGGCGGAGCTATGACAGCCCAATAGCAGCTAGTTTCGTAAATGCATAGAAGTCAATTCGAGCAACTTCCTCGCTGCGAGGCTGTCTTTCTGTGTGCGAGTTTTATTTGATCTGTGAGACATTAAGAGTATTTGAGTGGTTTCTGCGATTAGTGATTAAGATCTTAATGAACTGCCATCAAAACACTACATGCACATTTCACTTAGGTATTTTTTTATTTTAAAAAGTATACAAAATACAATAAACGAGATACATAGAAATAATACCACGGTCAAAATATAACAATTCTATCCTAGATGAAAACATTGGTTGCACGAGTGTTTGCTGTGATATATGGGCTTTTGGTTGATATTCAAAACAAACATACTTGTAATCATGTAATATCTGAACATAATAATAAATCCATGTTTTATGCAATGTGCATTCCTTAACTTCCATGATCAGTTTCATTAAAACCAACAACGAGTTACGTTTTAGTTTCTACATAATCATAAAATTACCCAAATTAAAAACAAAACAAAACACGGATATCAAAATATAGATGCAGATCATCAGTTTTCCTATTGTTGCATGCATTCGAAATTTTTGACTTGCTATTGCTGTCTATTCTACACTCTGATGCATCTAACATTTGAAATGGGCTCAAGGTGTCAATAAAATTACATTATGTTATGAAACATATCGCAATCATCAGATTGCATGATTACCAAAATGTTTCGTTGCATATAATATTTATTATAACCTTTTATGTCTGTCATAGCTCTATAACAACTTTTCCCCACCGTTCTCCTAGAGATTTCATTGCATCAGGCACCTCTTCCAGATTGACCTTTTCCTGGATGTGAACTCGCAATTTCCCATCACACAGTTTCTCCATACTGTCCTTGAGAATGTCTATAGTACAGTAAAGGATAACTATTGACACCATATGATAGTTCATTAAAAAATATCACCAATGTAAGGATGAAAGGGTTGTCAAGGAAGGTTTGGTTAGGGTCCCTGTATACAGAGAGTTGCGCCAACTCAGGATTTGACGCCATGTTGTTTCCAAATGGATCAACACCGCTGCCGCTTAAGTACAGCGCTGTATGGATACGCTGTACAATGGTCCGTAGTAATTAATTAGACTAATCGTACTTCAATAAACTCAAAATTTACAGAGATTATAGCTAAGACATGTGTCTATGTGTATCTAGATTTCTAGAAATGTAACTCAAATCGTTCGCGCCATATGATAATTTAATTGTACACTTTCTTACGGCCATAGCCGTGCGTATCTATTTGGAAACAACATGTCGTCCAGCGACCACGTGACCGATAGTTTTCCGACTCGTCATGGCGCAACTCTCTGTATATAGGGACCCTAGGTTTGGTTACATAGGAATTGCACGCCAGACATCACAATATAGCACACAAACATTTATGTATACTATTTCCTATCAAATAGTTTTATTCAAATTTAATTTAATTACCGTAGCTATGCAGTCAAGCAAGTCATCAATGGGAGAATGTTGGCGTTATTCATAAAGGATGTTCCCAATTTATATAAAAGATAACAGTGGCAAGTTATGACATAAACAGATAGTAACACGTGTTGTACAAGTGTTGATAAACGGTTAATGATTAACTTTGAAGAGTTGGATGCCTACCATAGATTGATATATAATTGGCTCACGTTATCTAGCTTTAACATTTACAATAATTTCTTTTTCAAATAATTAAAAGCTATAATAAGCATAATAATAATAATAATAATAATAATAATAATGTGTTTAAGTAAACAATAAGATTTTTATTCTGGAGTTGGGCTTGGTAGAAGTTGCTGGTAGCCTACTGCCACTTGGAAAATTCGTTAGCCTGTGGGAGATCGCAACTTCTCATAGGCTATAGGCCTAAGACACAGAGCAATTTCTTTTACCACAATTTTAGGGAAAAAAGGTGCGTTTTATATTATATGCCATAAAATGGCTGGTGATATTACCATGTGTGTACGCGTGTATGTGGTGCGTGTGTGTGCATCCATCCATCCATCCATCCATCCAACCGCCAGCCTACCTACCAACGTATGTACACACACGCATGCACGCACACATGCATGCACGCATGCATGAACGCACACACACACACACGCACGCACGCACGCACGCACGCACGCACGCACGCACGCACGCACGCACGCACACACACACACACACACACACACACACACACATATCACACATAGCTGCCCTTAGACCAACCTTACTTTGTCCCATAATCTCATTTCAACATAATGCTGCCAATATCTCTAGCTAGATCCGGAATATGAACACTGTAGTTGAAGCCATTTAGATTTGTGCTGCTATTGTTAGTGCCTTAATAGATGAATGCTAGTGGTATTTTACAGGTTTTATATGAAAAAGTTATATTAATTTATAATATAGACATTATTGATACATAAAAGCATCAGGAAATATTGATGCGTGGAGATAAGTTACAAGAGTAAAAAGAAGCGGAGAAAATGAGGTATGCGCGTGCAGCTTAACAGGAGTGCCCATGGCTTTGAGACAAAGCAATACGATAGCAACTATGTACAGAGCCTAATGAAACCCCACAACCTAACAAAGACCCCGAGCGAGGTAAAAGAGAAAAGTGGCTTTAAGGATACGTTGGTAACAGCCGAGTCGGGAAGGCGAGAGCAACCACGCATGCTCGAATAGGTGACACACCGACGCACACTTAAGATGCAACAGGTGACTGTCCGGAGGATCCAGCTGCAGATTGGCCTGCGACGTTACCCAGCGCCCTCCAGTGGCAAGCATGGATATGACGTCGTGTTTGTGTGGTAGCTGAGGATTCACTTGAATGCCGTCTTCCACCCGAAACATGTTTACTGAACATTAAACGACGATGTTACGTTAGCAGCCGAAGGCAGCGACAGAATGCAGTCCTGCTATGATTTTGATACGGCAGCTATCGGTTAAGCATGTTAGTCAAAAGACAATTAGGACATTAAAAGTTTTTCAATCTATATAAACTTGCAAATATCATTTTAAACACTGGTGGAGGAGATAACGGTTGATGGGAATTATTTAAACCATTTCTGACTACTATGACTATATTACAGTCTATCTTGGCCATTCTACATAACTAAAGCATGCACAAAGGGGAAGCTGAGAAAGCAAATGCTAATACCGCCACTGTCTACAATGATGTCAATGCCTAGGCCAGCTGTTTGATCCAGAACCTTCTTCTGCAGTATGTTTCCTGATTGAACGTTCTCCATGACAATAACAGATGACAACTTGAGCACATCTTCCAGGAAGAATTGCTCATCTTTATCACATACAGTGCAGAATACCTGTTGATAAGGACTAGTTCAAAGCTATCCGACTAGAACTAGTAGCACGGCTACATGCAAAAAAAACAGTACGGTATAGTAGGAGTAATTCATAGGATAAATCATAAAGCCTAACCCTAAGCCTATCCCTAACCCCTATTATTTACTCCTGGTAATAGTATTAGTAAATGCAAGCGATCGTAACAGTAACAATGCTTCAAGCTAGCTATTAACTGCAATAGTGATTGGCTCTATAGCAATGCATGGATAGCAAAGTAAAACATCGATAACAATTATTGTTGATGGTTCACTGATCAATCGATAGTTTTCATTAGTAAGTAATAATAAAGTGTATGTAATATAATAATAACGGTATGCAATGCTGGCCTACAATTTATGTTTTTTAGATAACTACATTGGCAGATCATTCTCCTCTATCACAACAGCACCAGTAAGGATTGAAAAATATGTAACACTGTGGTACTTCACACATGGGTCGCCATACCACCTCATGTCAAGAGCCTCCAGTAACGAATCTGTACTATTAATTAATAGGTTAAACATTTAAAGTCATTGGTTGCCGAGTTACTTAAGCAATCAGCACTTGGGTCACAGTCAGATAATGTTAAGATCTACTAATATAGTGTTTATACAATAACAAAAAGAGGTTGACTTAGTAATGAACCTGTATTGACTTAATAATCACCAGTCAGGATTCCAAAAACTACCTGTAAATTATTCTGTGACAATCCCTATTCATTGGTTTTCAAGTCTTACGCGGGGTTTGCATCATCAACTTCTAGTTGGAAAGTTTGCAAGTTGTGGAAGTTGGCATCAGATGTTTAGTGCATACACACACTATCGACTCCGATTCGATCAGATATTCAACCTTTCAACTTAAACGTGCTCATGGGACAATCGATATACATTCTTGCATATGTAAATTCAGGCCAGGGATAGCAAATGTGCTGCAACAGCAGAAATACACGTCTAAATAAATTGACCAGACACAATGCCACAATAAAGGAGGAAGTGCTATTGGTGGTCACCATTGCTTTGCTTCTTACAAAAGGGAAAAGAGATCAGAGGAGGAAATAGAGTGTGTGAATGCAAGTGGATATGTCATCGAGCACTTTACAGTCATTACAACAGTTTAGCTCCAGAACTCTGCACAGAGATTTCAATTATTTACAAAAATAGTATATATGTAAAAATAATATGTAAAATAATATATGTAGCATGATCAGGCCAACAAGACACTGCAGTCAGCGCAATGAACCGGTACATTATATAGTAAACAATTTAACATAGTTAGTGTAGTACAGGGTGAGATGGATCTAGGCATTATATACTTTCTCACCATATGCATTTATTTCTACATCTCCCACACTTCAGCTACGTACCCCAGAAATGCACACCGCAAGTGTGCAAATAATTTTCCTTCAGAGTGGGGGGACATAACCCTTGAAAGCTATTATCTCAGTGGTTGTATGGAAAAAAGTTGATCAAATCGCTGTCAAAAAGGTTAAGATTTTAACAAAGACTTAGAAAATGTTCTGTTCATTCAACCAGTTGACCTCAACTAGTACAGTGCTCAACTTTTATGTTTATACTGTCTACTTTTAGTCAAAACGTTGATCAACTCGCTCAACTTATAAACTTTTCAACTCAAAGTTGACAGTGTAAATCCAGCATTAGATGTGCGACTTTCTCATAACCAGTGAAGCTCACCTGCGATGCTCCCCACTGAATAGCCAGCTGCAACACCATCGTACCAAAAGGAGAAGCAGCATTTAGCACAAGGACAGTCTCATCTCGTTGTAGGTGTGCGAGATAATAGAGAGCGGTGTAGGCACGCACGCAGTCGCCTACAGAACCAGCTGCGAGCTCATGACTCAAGCTGCTTGGAATGCGAGCTATAATCATATAGAAGCAGACTAGAATTGAGTTCCATTTCTTTGACGGACATTGCCAATAATGTGGAGAATTCAGTCAACTTATGAAACTAACTCAATGAAGCATAGAAATCTAGTGATTTCCTATTTCATTCAATATTCTCCATGTAGAATTATTACGTGATTTCTCAAACTCTTACTTAGTACATGTAGGATATACAGAGTTGTACTCGTATACATATACCTGCATGATACTCATGTAAGATGATAGCACGAGAGCAGCCTGAGTAAGGAGAATCCAATGGAAGCATGCCTGAAAGGAATAGCAGCTTCTTACGTACTGTAGCATATGTTTCCACTTCAATCATTACACCAACCAATCGTGGCTTTTGTAGTTATCCCCAAATGGCTAAATATACCTAGCTAATTCTTATTGGTTCTTGAAGATAAGTGTCTTTGCAGCATCTTGTGTGATGAGGTTTAAGATCAACTCTGGTTAACAAAACCGGATTAGTTTATAAAGTCTAAGTTTTCTGTGCCTGCAAACCTGAACGTTTCACAAGTAAACAGCACTGTTATAGTATTAGCTACACACGTGCAATGATTTGAGCTACACATATCGTTGCAACAATGCAACATCTGAACATCTACACACCTACAACATGGTCATTAACACTCAGCGATGAGACATCTTGGCCGACTCGCTGCACCACTCCTGATATCTCTAATCCCATTGGAAGCCTCAGAGAAAGCTTCTTCTTTAGTGCTTCTTCTACTGCCTGTATTACATAATAATATTCTACTTTAGTACACAACATTTCAGGGTTTCTGCCGAGAGAAAATTAGACAAAGGTGGTAATGGCCAGTTTGGGGGAAAACGCACATGCATGATAGATTCAAAGGCGTGCCATAGGCACACATGCGGACGTGGGGGGAGAGAGGGAGGTTCTGGCGGGGTTCTGCGGGGTCTCCCCAGCAAAACTTTTAAAATTTGAATGTCCCCTATTTGACTATATTTGACTATATTTGAGGCACCCTAAAAATAAAATTGCAGTTTAAATATTCGCCGGGAAAATACAGGAACATTTTCACAACAGAGATGTGAAAATTGACAACGGCGGTACACCACTGTGCCTCTTATGTATAAGAAACTCTGCATTTAATGTTAAATCACTAAATGATTATCATGATTTAGTTTAAAGTTAAATAATTACAAGCTTGTTTATTATGAACCTGATTGTGGCAAAAACTAGAAAGCCCACAAGCTTTCACTTCGACCTCAATTTCACTTCCTGCAAGATCAGTCAATCCAGGATCCTCCTGAAACAGTTAATGACAAAACATGGCTACAATCAGTACTTAATCAAGCATCATAAATACACAGTCACAAGTTATGGTGAAGGTCATAATTCCCAGCACCAAATATTAACTAGTGTCCAATAAATGCTATCTCTGCATGCACCTCACTTGGTGCTGACATGGACAACATAAAGGGTATATTTACACTGTACCTAATACCATGAGAGCTCACACTCAAATAGAATCGTGTGGGACCACGTGGTTACCAGCATGCGTGTGTCTGGGTGGATTATATGACCCTGATCACATGGGTTTCATAAACTGGTCATTTCTTTAATAGGATCCAGTGAACTCGATCTGTACACCTAATCAGACCCAGTTGGCAAGGTGGGTTTGACAGGATCCAATATGGCAGCATGCAGGGTTCTCCCCAGGATGAAATTCAAACAGGGGGAGGGGAGGGGGAAGGGAAACTAGGGGTCCGGAGGGGCATGTATTTTAAGCCGTAACGAAAACTAATAAATAATTGCGTAAAATTCGCCACTCGAACATCATACGACGGTAATTTGGGTTCGTTGTAATATATAAAGTGATACCGAGTTCGTGATGCATTAAGTGACAGTTAGACTTGCAACGTCTGCAGGTGCATGCTTTGGTAAACCGGTCAAAAATCACACGGCTCGACATGTCCTGGTCGAACGCAATCCTTGCCGACTCGATTCCCGCGCTGGATAAAACTTTTATTGTGAGTGGAGAATTAAAACGGCGGAGGTATTTAACGGGCGTCAAACGATTCCAAACCGGGAGAAGTTTCGCGTCAAACGGGGCGCGCCGCGGCGACCACGTTTGCGCGAACGCAGGAGAACCCTGGGCGCAGGGTCTCCCCAAGGAGAAATATCAAACAGGGAGGAGGAAGGGCAGGGGAGGGGCAGGGGAACACTATAGGGGTCCGGGGGAGTTCTTTCTAACCGTACCAACTAATAAAGCTAGAATCGCTCACCACACCATAAAACGGTATTTGGGGTTCTATGTATATACAAATACGCCGAGTAAGTGTACAGTTATGTTGTGTGGGGACAGGTTAGAACTGTTTGTTATCTTGTGTAGGCTGCAGTGCATGCGTGCACGGTAAAGAAACACGCGCCGGTGTGCCGCTGGTCGAAGTGGAGATTCTTGACGATCGATTCCCGCTGGCAAACTCTAATTGTGTAGAATTTAATCCGGGCGGAGGTAATTTAAACGGGGCGCGCGGCGGCGCCCGTTTGCGCAACGTAGGGAGAACCCTGTAGTCTATATAGCCTTTGCACCTCGCAACCTTCTTATGAACAAATATTTGAAAGTACAATAAGAAAATTGTGATTAAACTCATTATATTGATATAGTGAGATTAGTTTCATTCAGTATATACCATGTTTCATCAACAAAATATTGTTGCTGTTGATCGCAGGGACCATCACCCTCACCCTGTGTGACTTCAATGAATAAGGCTTTCATTTTCAATAAATGTTACCTATCAATAAGTTCGGCAAATTCACATAGTCAGCAACTAAAATAATTCGTATATGATATCCATGTACACCATAAAATAGCTACAACATTTTAGTATAACCAAACTCGTAATATAACAACACGAAAACAACAACAGATAACGTGACACAGTCACACACTGGCTTTGCATGAGACCAATGGATGAGACCTGAGGATGAGACGGGCAACGAGCTATCTCTCTATTTTACCAACAGTAACAGGAAACTACTGGTAACAGTCTAACTTACAGAAAAGAAACGTGACCGGTTACCCATAGGATAGACAGTTTACTTTATGCGACAGGTAGCAGCGGGTGTGTGTGACAGTGTGAGTGCCACCAAAAACCGTATGTAATTGTATTAATTCTGTATATATTATTGTATATATGGCAGTATTAGTATTGTAGTATTTATTTATATATATATATAATTGTTCGGGTCTTTGCATAACATTTATGATAACATGCATGTGGCATGCACAGGACACCGGAAACACGCCACTCGGACGGACTCCGCCATCGCCTTTTCAGGTCTAAAAAGCCAGTGACAGTGTCTGCTAAGTGGTAAGTCTCACCATAGATATATACAACACCAGGCCCGTAGCCAGGGCGCTTCGGGTTCGACGAACCCCCCCCCAGAGGCCGTCCCGCCCCCCAACCGACACCAAGCCAAAAAATAGATGAAGTTATTCAAAAATTTGTGGCAAGAAATTCTCACCTCAGTCGCTCCAGTTGAGCTGTAATAAGTGCATGGAAATCTCCATCGCTCGGGCGCGCGGCGCGAGGAGGAACAGTGAAGCTACCCCCCTCCCACACCCTCGCCAGCACCGCTCGGTCCTTGGCTCCCTCCCTGGTCGCTCCGCGCCCGGAGCAAGGGCGTGTTTCATGGGGGGTTCCCAGGAGTCCGACCCCCCTTGCTCGCGCAGAAAAACGCATCTGAGGGGGTCCTAATTTAAAAGAATTTCTGTGAGCAGAGGCCCCCAACACCCCCCTTTCGCGTGCTCGCAACACTATTGCGTTACGGTTAGACCCCCCCCCCCGGTAGCAAACATCCTGTATCGACGCCAGATGGATAATTAGTGAGATTGCGCAGCGCCGTGCCGCAGCAAGCTGGCCCCAAACATCAATGAAAAGGCGAACAGCCCCCCAATAGAAATCGCTGCTACGGGCCTGTACAACACATATGTTGTATATATCTATGGTCTCACTCTCACTCTTAATTACCATAGATATATACAACACATACGTGTTGTATATATCTATGCTCTTACTAGCCACAAGTTCCCATCTCGCTTAACACTACGTGGCGAGAGGAGTGTCCTCCGCCGTGTAACTAGTCGGAGAGCCTGGTCGGTTTATGCTCTTACCAAAGATCATATAATATTGTATATGATCTTTGCTCTGTTACTAATACTAGGGCACGAAGGGTCGTTGTCGTAACACTAACAGTTACTACAGATATGTACCGGAGGTAGTTTTAGGTTGTTTAGTATTATGTTTATATTTTTATATGAGGTATGTTTAGGGTTAGGGTTAGGATTAGAGTTAGGGTTAAGGTTAGAGTTAGGGTTAAGGTTAGAGTTAGGGTTAGGGTTAGTGAATAGGGTTAGGGTACACTTCTTTACTTTAGTACAAGTCTGGTACACTTTGTGTATACATATATGTACCTCGGGTACATATCTGCAGTACCTGTTACGACAACGACCCCTTGAGCAATACTAGGGCTCATAGGGGTCTAATACCGTCTATGTCCCCCATGCCCATGGTACTGCCAGAACGTACCCTGGGTACGGTCCGGTATACCGGAACGTACCCTGGTAACTATTTGATCATATGGTTAGGGTTAGGGTTAGGGCAAAGTGTTAGGGTAATATATAGTACCAGGGTACGTTCCGGTATGGGGACATAGACCCTTTCAGCACCACTATGGCACTATTAACACTGTCAGAAAAACTCTATTTGCGGGTTAGTTTAGTTTGAATAGATTATTTTCTGGTAAGCCCCTGTATTATTAATATTATGTTGCAGAAAACTGATGGCTGAGACACGTACTTTGTTGTCCCTAACCCACGTGGATCATGCACAAAAGTGGTCAGTCACTACAGGAGGGCAGGTAATATATATTAGAACCAGATTAGTCAGACGTACCTGTAAGAGTAAACTTCTATATGCAGATCTTGTTCCAGGTGATCCACTTAAGAATATATGTTCTACCCACCTTACACTGTGAAAAACGCCCCCCCCCAAGTGCATTTTATCTTTTCATAAATTATTTTTTAAATTGAATACAAATTTAGTAAAATTTGTTTATTTTTTACATATTGTGCAAAATACAACCCCATTGTAAAATTGTGTGATGCAACCTCCATAGATATTGACGTCCATGGAAATTACATGTACCCATTGCAATTTAGGTTTTATTTAATTTTATGACTGAACTGGATGGCCTTTATACATAATATTACATTATTCGTTCTGGTTTTCATTCTTAGATATTGATATATATGCATATGATGTATAGATATGCAGTTTATGCACTGTTGTGCTCAGTGACTGCCATGTTGGAAGTCTCAGTTGGGACTCTCTATAATTAAATGCTAACCCAACTCCAAATATATACACATGTGTAGGTATCAACATATTTTATTATGAGTGATACATGCAAATAATTCAAAATACTTTCAATATGTTTGCTTGTTATTACACTAGGTACCAAATCTGTGCATTGCATGTGCAGCTGAACTATTAGAGGACAGTGAAGTACTTCTAGTGAGAAAACGAGCTGTTGTTGCTGCACTACTATCTGCACTCACACAGCATTCAGATGCAATTATGACCTTGCTTACAGAAGACATACGTGTCGCTGAACACTTGTTGAATCTACTTCTGGGTACACGTGACTATACACACTTATAGCTGTCTGTGTTTAGATGTCATAAATATGTAGATGCAGGTAATTTTAATTAACAGTATCATTGAATGTTTACAGTAGTGTTCAATTATATGTAAAATATAATGTGTTAAGCTTAAAGGGACAGTAGCCTCTAGGATTTTACTGCATACAACTGTACTTACTGTATAACAAATCATCTATACCCACATGTATTTGTCACCAGATACTTAATTAATTATTTACACATCAACGCTACGAAATTTGAACGGTGCCATGACACCCGCGACCGTGCTGCCACCCTGAAAAAGTTGCGTATTTGCATTTTTATTTTGCAGGTAAATGACCGAGGGCTAATCACAAAAGTGCAATTATATTTATACCTAAATGCTATTTAACCGAACGATATTCATTTTAGGGCAAATTTATCCATAATATAACTGAAACTATATGTCGTTTATAAGAGATTACAGTCCTTTTGCTTTTAAATAAATAAATAAGAAATACCCTCGGTCTGTAGCTCTTGGCTGGAAAGTGGTTTTGCGCAACTTCTCAGATCGTGCGCTTTGAGTGGCGCCACCGTCGTTGTAATCAAACTGTAGTCGTTAGTTTTAAAACATTAAAAAAAAATATTTCTAATGGTGATTGAACCATGAAACTTTTTATGTAGCGCAATTATAACCTAAATTAGCTGAAAATAACCCTAGAACCTAGAGGCTACTGTTCCTTTAATATTGTCATATTGATTGTGTTATTCATGCAATCACATATAAAATGGAGAAGATTTCATGTTTCAGATGATCTCTTTACTGTTGATCAGACATTGGGCACTATCATCCAGGAAGGTATGATATAAGATCATCCATTAAACAAATTCACATATATAATTGAATATAGAGGTTTACAAATCATGATTATCCAGATTACTGTTAATACCATAACTATTATAACTCAAACAAACAATGTTTTAGTTATCATTCAACTGCTGTGCAAGCTGAAGTCTGACAGATTGGTGCTTGAGGCAGTGAATTCCATCACTATGAAGGTATAACTACACTTTTCTGCAGCAGAGTTATCATAGGTTACAACTAGAAGTCCCTAGCTATTTATTGGCATATCAAATTAAGTTGGATTTCTTACTGAGTATTTTGTACGTTAGATTTGGTTGAGGTTTAAAAAGCATGTTTACATTCATGCACTGCATGTATGTATATACAAAAGCATGTTTAAAAAAAGAAGAAGATTAATTTATTACGTCATAATTGATTGAAAGTGATACTTTGGTGGTGCAGACTTGCCTAATTTATCACCTGCTAGGTAGAGAAGCAGTGTAATTATCTGCGGTCAGTTCCAGCATTTACTCTTCTCAGTAGCCTAATCCAGGAAATCCCCCCGCTAGCCCACACACTGATAATGGCACACAGTAAGTATATTATAGGCATCTTTTACTGCTACTAGTGAGAATATTATAATTATTACATTATAATACCTCCAAACACATAAATAGGTTTTGATAATCAAGCAGCATGTGTGGGATATGTACATTAAATTCCGTGTCTGTAACTAGTGAATTGGTACGTGCAAAATTGTCTAATTTTGTGTTTACTATCTAACTATTTTCCTGAAGTATTTTGAGTCATAGTCTTCTCTTGATTTAGAACCATTTCTGGAATTCATCTGCTCTGGGCTGACCTATCCTGATGATTCAGTAAGGATCACTATCATCTATCTCTTCGTGCATATGTATGCCAGTAGAGGGCAGCACAGCACACCTTCCTCTGAGGATGATGTAGCAGACCGCATTGTCATACCTAGCAATGTCAACGTTCAGGTCGCAGAGTGTCTGCTGCAATTACTGAAAACATCAGAGCATATGGATCTTCAGCTAAATCTCCTTGGTAATCGAATATGCCATTTTGCTTTGGAAGTGGGCATACCACAATATATAATTTCAGAGAGTGGACTTAGGATGATGAAGGTGATAGACGTGGGAACTAGTAGCTCTTATGTGTTGTATTATTTGATTTATTGATATTCTTCCGTGCTTGTCCACCATGTTACTGCTGTTGCTGTCTCCAGCTTCACTCATGATTTCATACTATATTTGATATACGAATTGCTACATGGTTTTAGTTAAATTGCGTGACAATGACTACTAGAGCTGGTCACTGCATTTGTATAACAATGGAGCTAAATCTGGACACACTGTGTCTGCTGTGTTCGATAGGTTTGGTAAAGAGGTGGTTTATGGATGAGGATCTCACAAGTGTTCTAATGAGAACCTCTGCTGATGGAAGCACCTTTCCCACCGCTGTGAAAAAGTGCCTATTGTCCAAGTATGCTCATTGTTGTTTGTATTGTTTTACCAAAAATATTAGGTTAGTTGTATTTTCATGAAATAAACGATTTGCCAATGTTGTCGTCAATAAACCTTTCTATTGCTCAATAGATGTGACACAGTGCAGGTGAGTGCAGTGCAGTGTCTCATGTCCCTCATTACCTCACAACATGAAACCTCGACCGCTGCAATGTACACCGAGTCGCTTCTTGATGCTGACATTACAGGTACAATTCCTAATGCAATCTCACATTAAAATCATCAAAATATTTTGTGAAGTTTCCAGATTATTCAACATCTTATAGACTTATATATTGATGTATCTTCATGTCAAATAAGAATTGCATTTTTGAATTGTATTGAATTGTATATTTCTTAAATAATGCCCTGGCCCTAAATCATCATCTTTCATCTGTGTCTTTTGCAGAATTCCTATTTGAAGCATTAGCCACCACCAATGAACTGCTTTTAGAGTAGGTGATTATTTAATTCAATAATTTATTACCAAAATAACAATTATACTTCGTTTTGTAACAATTGGGCCTTAGTAACTGGGCTTTTTATTAGTTTTCTCCTTGTAAGACAATGGAACATAGGTGACGGAACGATGGAATCTGTGGCACATGTATGCCAGAAGGTTGTATGGAGACTCACATTGTCAGGTGATCGATTAATTGTATTTGTCCGTCTCTTAGGTCCATATTCTGCTGCCTGATGGTTTTCACAGACACGCAGACTTTCTTTACCAAGTGCCATGTCATATATGGTATAGAGTCTGTGCTGAGGGCCGTCGATCTCTCTTTCCAACAGAGAAAACCCTCTACAATCGTCAGGGGAATGGATCTACTAGGCCTGATCCTGCAGAAGTACGACAATTAACACGAGGGGTTTAGTTTGTAGGGCGGGCTAGAAAAGAAAAGAATACCAGTAGAATTATGTGGTTATTTCCCGATATGCGTGCATTCGTGTGTGCATGTCACTTAATAACATGTGTTGTGACGTGCTTGTGTGCATACATGTTTGTTTGTGTGTACGTGCATGCGTGCATGTGTGCGTGCGTGAGCGTGCGTGCGTGAGCGTGCGTGCGTGAGCGTGTGTGCGTGAGCGTGCGTGCTGCGTGCGTGAGCGTGCTGCGTGCGTGCGTGCGTGCGTGCGTGCGTGAGCGTGCGTGCTGCGTGCTGCGTGAGCATGCTGCGTGCGTGTGCGTGCTGCGTGCGTGAGCGTGCTGCGTGCGTGCTGCGTGCGTCAGCGTGCTGCGTGCGTGCGTGCGTGCGTGCGTGAGCGTGCGTGCTGCGTGAGCATGCTGCGTGCGTGTGCGTGCTGCGTGCGTGAGCGTGCTGCGTGCGTGGCGTGCTGCGTGCGTCAGCGTGCTGCGTGCGTGCGTGCGTGCGTGAGCGTGCGTGAGCGTGCGTGAGCATGCTGCGTGCGTGTGCGTGCTGCGTGCGTCAGCGTGCGTCAGCGTGCGTCAGCGTGCTGCGTGCGTCAGCGTGCTGCGTGCGTGAGCGTGCTGCGTGCGTCAGCGTGCGTGCGTGCGTCAGCGTGCGTTCGTGCATACGTGAGCGTGCGTGAGTGCGTGAGAGTGCTGCGTGCGTGAGCGTGCTGCGTGCGTGAGCGTGCTGCGTGCGTGAGCGTGCTGCGTGCGTGCGTGAGCGTGCTGCGTGCGTCAGCGTGCTGCGTGTGTCAGCGTGCTGCGTGCGTGAGCGTGCGTGCGTGCGTGAGCGTGCATTCGTGCATACGTGAGCGTGCTTGCGTGAGCGTGGGTGAGCGTGCTGCGTACGTGAGCGTGCTGAGCGCATAAGCGTGCTGCGTGCGTGAGCGTGCTGCGTGCGTGCGTGCGTGAGCGTGCGTGCGTGAGCGTGCGTGGGTGCATACGTATGCGTGAGCGCGTGCGTGCGTCAGCGTGCGTGCGTGCATGCGTGCATGCGTGCGTGCGTGCATACGTGAGCCTGCATGCGTCAGCGCGTGCGTGCGTGCATACGTGAGCGTGCCTGCGTGAGCGCGTGCGTGCGTGAGCGTGCATGCGTGAGCGTGCTTGCGTGCGTGCGTGCATACGCGAGCGTGCGTGCGTGCGTGCGTGAGCGTGCGTGCGCACACGTGTGCGTACGCATGTTATTCATGCTTGGTCTCTACATGCCTCAATCTAATTCTTTCAGACAACCAGAGAGAATGCCCCTGCTAAGCTCTGATAAGACATTTACCGAATGTCTGCGCATAATAAACACTGGCATTTCACACAGTTACCACCAGGTCGCTCTATCTTCAGGTGTTGCGTACTGTCATCTGCTCAGGTAAGAGACTAATTAAGAAAGACGTACATGGATGCATGCATTCATTCACTCGATTACGCAGTTCATGCGTGACTTCATTATAAAATGATGTATAGAGCTTGTGACTCTGCATGCTTGTTTTTAATTTACTAGGCGGCAGCATATTCCATCGCCAGTTCCGTATAACGCTCTTCTTAATACATTGGAGCAGCTGGTAATGCGGCTTCACACTTTACCCACCATGCGTTGCATACCATCTGATAACAGGTAGAATATATACTGTATAAGAAGCTCGTGATGCTCATGAATATATATATATATATATATATATATATATATATATATTCATTTATTTATTTCTATTTATCTATATAATATTATGTATTGTAATATATATATGCTTGCATCGTTACTTAATCTATGATCAGTAGGGCAGTATTGGTTAAACATTGGATTCGTAAATATATAGAGTAATTATGTAGTGGCAGTGTTTCTTCAGGAAAGGACAGCATAACCAGAGTGGTTTATTTCGCCAAGCGCAGAGCACACAGCAAATGATAGAGTGTACGCTCAATTGTCTACGAGCTGTTGCTAGGTAAGATTTATAGTATGAGATTATACCTTTTCCAGGGGCAGTTTTTTGAATTCTGAAATGGATGGTACAGTGAATGCGGAAAGAAAGGAGGATGATTGGGGGGATTATCCCATATAGGTTTTATCAGGATATAAGATTGAATAAATTCCTCATTTCGAAGCACTTTATTCTATTTGAAGTGAATGACATTTTTGCCATGTGCTGAACAAGATATGCCTGCAATCACAAAAGAGATGGTCGCTGAGCTTCCTTAAACCCCCTTATCTCGATCCACCTCTGTTTCCCCATTGACAATCATATAAATAACAATGATAGACAACCACATAAGTTTTGTAATGAAGTCAAGTTTTATCAAATTACACTAGGGTTGATTGTAAAATTATTGTGTTTTGGGATGTAGACTGATGCTAAGCTGCATGGATGACCCTACTGCCAACCCAGAAACATTTGCTGCACCTACATCTGTATCTGTCTCTGACATGCCTGTCAGTTCATCCATTCAGTTCGATGTTAATATACCTGGCGCGATGCAAGCATCAGTCTCCACACACCTCCTGCAACTGTGTGACGAGCACTGCATGCCTGCTGTAATTGTGAGTTGGTGTATATAGTCTCATGGGGCACCTGATGGGTGGCCAAAATCTTATATAATATTGACTAAGTTTGTCTTTGCCCTTTTAAATATCAATTTATACATTCCCTTTCCTGATGTATGTTGTCTCTCCCAGACTGTTTAAATCTATGTGATATGCTTTTGAACAGCACGGAATGCGAATTTTGCCTTGCTCTTTGCCGGTGATAATAAATATTATATGTACATTTTTTCATCCAGCAAAACAAGCAGTATCTAGCTAGTTCAGAGATTTACAGGAGTCTGCTAGACACGCTTAACATAATGTTCAGAATCCAGCCAAAAATGATGAAGCTATTCTCAGAGAAATTGGCTTCAGTTGGCTTCTACAGGATGGCACTGGAACTAAAGGACCAGTGGCCAAAGAATGCAAGGTGTGTTAGTTGTACAGCATAGCTGTCAATATACATACATTTGAGTTTTGTGTGTGGATACACGTCGAAGACTGTAACTGCATAATGTTACACCAATTTAATAAGAAAAGTACCTCAATTCTTTTCTTCACAGAAAATGTACTATGGTTTACTTTGGTGTTTTTCAGTCTCCAAGATGCTGTGGACCAACTGGTTAGTGTGTGCTGCTCAACTCTCATGACAGCGCACCACGATGGGATCCAAAATAGCCCCACTCCTGTAAACTTCACTGACCTTAAACTTGGGGTGCAACAACTATCAGGTACTTCCTAGAAGATCATCCAATGCTTATCTTTTCTTTGTGCTTGGCAGTAGTATTTGGTATTGATTTGTACTACCATATCCTTTTGCATGACTTGCGAACTTTATATGTGATAAAGTACTAATCTCATGTACTTTACTAATGGGATTTCAGTTCTTAATAGCTAGGATATGTTCATCATTTTATGTTCATAAATTGAACCTACGTGTGACTGTGTGTATTTGAAGGACCTCTAGGAAAGTTCATTTTGGTGCTGACGCAGTGCAGCACAGTGGACAGAAAACTACAGGCTGCACAAGTGGCATGCATAGCCCTCTGCCATCTTTTTTTGGAGCATGATCACAGCAGGTAGACAGATATAATCATTGCCTATATAATAATGTCTTGATTTATATATGTGACACGCAGTCCTTGCACGAAGTTCGGTAGCGTGAAAAGCATGCAGCTCGGTGCATGGTTTGTCGGATGGTTGCAGTGCTGTGGTTGTGTTACAGGATGGCTGCGTGTGCACCTTCGTTGTTCCGCGTACTTGTCACCTTCCTATCATTGCATGCCGACCTGTCATGGATCCCGCCTACCTCACTGCAGCAACTGCTCTCCCTGTGTGCGGTGAGTATGCCTATACTTCCACTGGGCACCTGTACAGCTAGTAGTTTGTATCTCAACAACTATGTGCCACATGACACTTCGCTATGCACGTACTCCACTAGTGACAACTGAAATGGTATATATATATATATATATATATATATATATATA